CATCATGTTAATTCACTGAACATAAACGCGAATGAAATTTTCATGATACCTACGTTTAGTATAAACAGTGTTTGTAACGTATAATGTATTATTTTTTTGTAACTAGATGATAATATTTATATTTTTTACAATTATCTTTTTGGATAAACCCTTTTTTTGTCATTTTATATATTTTATATTTACACAATAGTTTCCACTCCAAAGATGTTTATCTACTATTTTCTTTACTCAAAAGAACATAAAAATGTTGATTAATTATTTTTCTAAACAAGGTATACTTGTTATAATTGTATGAAGGCAGATCAAAGACACTATTTGTGTTGTGAAATATTTCAATTTGTTATTTAAAATTAATAATATACATAATAATAACTCGTTTTATGATATTATACAGCGTATATCTCTGTAAAATAAACGTCATATTGCTTTATTTGTTTTTTTTTTTGTACCTTCCACATAGCTGTTGACCTACAAACGAAACTCTTGTCCAAGAAAATACGATTTAAATACTTGACTATCATCTGCTGTACGCCTTAACATATCGCACAAATATTTGCCCTTGTACTCGTATACGATGGGCACTTTGAGGGATAAATAAATACGTGCCTCATCCGAGTCCTCAACCACATTCATAACATTTATAACATTCTCCTCCCCTTGGTAAATCTAAAATTGAATTGTTGTTTTTTTTTACGTTATACCAAAATAAATATAATAACGTACAAACGTCGTCGGGCTAGGCTAAACAGTATGCAAACAATACGACTATAATATTATTATTGTGTTTTACACACAGACGATCTCATCCTCCCATCATATATTTAATAATAAGTTACAGGCACTTGCGAGGAAAAAAACGAAAAACAAATTTAAAAAAAAAACTATTATCCCGACTTAGTATCTCGGCGTCGGCGGCGGTGGTGGCGGCACTTGTTGACTGTTGCTCTCTGAAAGCATCCTTTGAATACGAAATAATAAAACATTTCACGCCATCGCCGGCGAACGCGTCGACGTATTAATATTGTGATAGCCAAAGGTCGACGACAAAGAGATAGTGATAATAATATATATTGCCGAAATCGTTTCAAGAGATTTCGTTGTGTAGGTACCTTTTAGTATTTACGTATCGTCAGTACGGTATCGGTTCGGGGGGAGGGGAAGGGGAACTACGGTAATGATCGCGCAGATACGGATCAAATACGATTCTGAGGCGGAGGACGACCCGCATTATATGCACACAGGTGTGTCTGGGGGACGTTGGACGACGGATATAGTGAGGTAAAGAGAGAGTGCTAGAGAGAGAGAGTCAGAGAGGGAAAGAGTGAAAATCGAATTCGTCTCCGAGTACGTAATAATAATATATCGTGTGTTATACCTACCTATTTACAGCCACCTTTCGATCAATACGACCGATTGATTTTTGTTCTCCAAGCTCCGACTCGAGGTGCTTATATATTATTATATTATATTATATACTACATCATATTGTTATATTATTATTGTACGGTCAACTGTCGATTGCATAAAATTATGATAATTTTGTATGCGTGTATTGTACAGGAAAATAATTAATACGCTGTATGGATGGGATCAAAAACGATCTAGAAGAATCGTTGGAAAATCGATAACGAAGAGACAGTAAACAGAGAGAGGCAAACAGAGAGAAAGAGTGACGCATCTATTATATTGCATATATCGGGGCATTTAAATAATAATAATATGATCGATGCTGTAATAATTCACTTAATTGTATAATTAGGTGTTCAGCAAAGACCAAATTAATAAGTAGATATATATTATTTGGTTTATTGTGGTCATTCTGATTTGGGGACTACAGGTCAACAGTGTTGTAGTTACCACGAAGTACAATGTTTCGTTTCAGGTACCTAGTGCACCATTTAGGTATATTATATAATACTATAATACTATAATACTGCAATATACACAAAAACGTGGTAAAACAAAAATTGAAAATTGGTGTATATGGTTGGTCGTAAAATTCTAGCTGCGACCATAACACGCAACACTAGACGCATTGATTTCAAATTAAATATCGGTAAAAAAAAAATGTATAGGTTGGTACATTTATTGTGGTCATAAAAAATAGAACGTGTAAAAAACTACTCGTATAAAAATTTTAACTATTTCGTGTAATTAAATGAATAAAACCGAATCATCCTGCCAATGATGTACACCTCATTATTGACATCTAAAATAACATATTATTATGTATTTATGTAATACTATATACTATTATTACTGTATACTAATAAAATAATGCACCGTACAATTTATGTACGTGCATTGCATTCCGATATTATTTTGAGTTATTCTAAATGAACGAGTTGCTTGTATTCTAGATTTTAGTAATTGATGATAACAACACTGAATACATACAACTGGGCCGAGGTGATATGGATATCCACCAAGGCCGGAGCCTATAGAAGTATAGAAGGTCATATTTTTAAGAATTAATTAAATACTTAGGACCAAAGATAGGTATAACCTTAAATTATATCCAAGACATAAAAAGAGGTTTTATAAAGAATAAAATAATAAATATTATTTAAGGGTTTGAACTATTTTATGGACCATGTCCAAAAAAATATTTTTATAGCTCCAAACCTTATTCAAGGTCTCGTGGGCATAAAAATTAACTCGAGTGCTAATATAGTGATCATAATAATTGTCCATTATATTATTGAAAATTGGGGATATGGCTTGTACAGATACCGTAAAAATAGTCAATGGAGAAGGCGGTACAATGAAAAACTCCAAAATTTGTTTCAACGATAGTCTAGTACGTAGGAAATCACAAAGATAAGATGTTCGTCGGTTAGAACACGGAACTATATACGGCAAAAACGGTAACTAAAGAGAACAAAATTGAAAAAAGACCGATAGGAACACCTTGTTTATGGTTGGATGATGGTTTTGTAAAAATATATTATGTTATAGGATGGTGGATACAAGAGCCTATTGGAAGAAATCGGTCTAAGAAAGAGAAAGACGGAGAAGAGTATTTTTAACGAATGGTCTCGAAAGCACCCCTCCCCCCTAAAAAAAAAAGGATAACTGAGTATGTGGAGATGTAATAATAATTCTTCGGACCTGAAAAATAACATAACTTCAGCTAAGAAATAAAAAAGTAAATATAGGTACACTTGTAATAATAATGTATAATAGAAATGGAAATATATTGCAGTAACATAAAATAAGATGTACCATGTACACATAATATAGTTGAAAGTATGAGCCTATTACGAAATCGGGGTTGTTAAAAATCAGTGTACGGTGAATTCGACCTTTTCTGGCATTTACTTTTTGACTGCTCGCTTTCCAAACCGTATAGATAGTGCACGGAATATCAAAACACAAACTATTTCCACACTAAATCGTAAACCGTCTGCCGCGTTCGATTTCCGATCGAATGGACGTGAAACGCACTTTTATCGCGTCAAAGTGTTATTATCCGAAGAAGAAAAAAAACCACTGCGTAGTCGTAAAACCAACATCTGCCGTTCGGAATCTAAAACGCTTTTACCCTCTATAATATAGACTATATTGCGTATATGACGCCGATATCTCTTCTCTCTCTCTCTCTCTCGGTAAGTACTACGATATTATAAATAATATACGAAATATATTATTATAGCTTATAATACGGCTGGCTGCAGTAGTGTAATATTTCCGTCGTAAAATATGTATAATACATGGCAATATTATTATTGTTATATAATAATAATAACAGTGCGTGTTGGTCGGGCACACCGTTTTCCGCCGGCGGGGAAACAAAACATAATATTTTTAGCGTCGGATATAGGATATATAATATTAAATCGCGTTGGTGGGCGGCAAGGCTCGACTCGTAATCGTGATGCCGGCGCGTGCCAAAACCTTCGAGAGTACACAAACACACAGACAAGTTTTTTTTTGGTTTTTTTTTTTCACAAACGGCGGCTTTGGCGTCCAGACGTCTGCAACCGTAGTCCGCGCGAAGCCTCCCTGCGCCGGATGGAGAAAAGTTTTCACGTCCGGTCCTACGCAAGCTATCTCGAACGCTGCAGGGGGTAGGGGGGGGGGCGAAAGCTGCAACATAAAATGTATAATATACGAGAGAGTGAGAGTATTACGTGCGAAAGTGAAAAGTCTCGCGCCGATCCCGTTCTACAGGTGTGCCGCTGCCGCGTCAACGACTGCGACTGCGACGACGGGCCGCATACAAATGGGTGGTGTGGGTGCGTTTAAACTATAATGTGTACATAATATATACATGTGCATTGGCGTTATCGTGGGGCGGGCGACGGCGCGCTAGTCGGAGGATCGTGTGGGGCACAGGATGCGTTGGCGCGCGCGGGACACGCAGGAGGAGAAGCGGCGCAGGATGACGATGACGAGCGGCGGCGGCGCAGGAGGCGGCGGACGTATATCTCGAATTCTCAACGCGCCGGACCGCCGGATGGCAACGCGATCAGATTCAGTCGGTTTTCGTACGCGGAACGCAATCGACGGGCCCCGTCGCAGAGACATCTCGCGCCGTCGCCGCAGATTGCGCCCGGTCAGTATCTCCTCTGTCGTCGCTGGTTATATCGCGCGCGTATCACGCCATACCTCGCGACCTTCGTTATCTCGCATCGTCCGATCTGCGGATATTACGTACCGGCGGTCTTCCGGCCGTCAGACACATTCACGATAACCCCCCGCCCCTCATCACCCACCCAAGGACACACGGGAGACCATCCCAGGGATAGGTTTTTCTATACCAATAGCGGTTAGGTACACACATTATGATATTGTGATAGCCACAACGACCTTACCGCGGTAACGATACCTCAGCGTCACCACTATACCACCAACCCCTGCCCAAAACCCATCAGAGACCTGACGACGGCGACAAAAACGATCCCGGTTAACGGCTTTCCGACGGCGGCGGTCGTCGCGTCGCACAGCCGCAACGCCCGCGTACGCCACTCGCGATGGACCACCTCGGCCGCAGCCAGCTAAACGGCTGCGTCCCGGTGACGGTCTTTGACGGCGGTTTCGGTCGTACCGGAGGCGGCTGCGGCGGCGGTGGTATCGTCTGCCGTACCGGTACCGGTCGCGTCGCTAGCAGTGCGCGCGCGGACAACAGCGGTACCGGCGCCGTGGGCAGCGGTGCGGGCATCGGCAGCGGCATCACCTGCAGCACTGGTACCTGCAGCGGCAGCGGTCCGACCACGGAAACGCTCGTCCGTCGCCGACGCGAGATCTGTTGGGTTTTGCGGTCGGGTCATATTTTCGCGTAAGGTAAGCAGCCGGAGTGGATATAATAATATTACGTCGATACGACGAGTCTGCAGCGAGTATATAAGAATAATGATGGATGACAGTGATGTATTATTATAACTGTAACAAAACAATATTTCGATTAAAGACATTTGCGCGAAGTTTGTAACTGCCACCAAACAAAATGTATCATTCCCCCAAAACGAAATAATACATTTATTGTGCATTCATTGTAACTTTATTATTTATAAGTATTTGATTTGCGAATAAATACGTTGTGGGTATTTTAATTATTTTGTCTATAATAACAAAAAAAAATATTTTGATAATATTATAAATCGTCGTACGTGAGAAATACATTGTTCTGGCTCTCGGCGCTGTTTAATTACAAATTATTATGCTCAATCACGTCATATTATAATACCTACAGTAGCTTAAAAATATAAAAGTCTCTTTAATAAAATATAATACAATATTAGAAACACTGCTCCATTTCGTATCTCTTTATCTTCCTCTAACTACCTATCTAATTCTCCTTTTATCCGATTGTCGAGGCTCGCCGATCATTGTTTATCTAATCAAGTATCGACCATAATTACCCTAGTCATAGTCATTGTTCTGGGTTTATTGTTATTATTTGATTTTTATTCTTAGTACCTAATAATATGATTCTTATTTTCAAATTTTGTATCTTATAATTCTCACTATTATTTCATTCCATATAATATTGGGCATTTGCCAGTGACAATGTTTATAAAATTAATAAATGATAATGATATTATATTAGAGTATTAGACCCATATTATAATATTATAATGGCTGGTGTTTAACAGCGATGATTACAATATAATGCCATGATATTGTATATTATTTTATGGTAAATTCACACGTTTGCACCCTACGACTTTAACATTATTCTATAACACTGTGAATTAGCATATAATAATGTTGTTGTGTGGCCAAATAATGTGTTTCACGTTCACGGACGTTTATGGCCAGATTTGTTTCAATTGTTTCCCAAGTGGTTTAATTACTCATATTATTAATTCACTTCCGATCCGAAATAGCCAACATTGTACTTGTTTGTGAGATGTACTTTGTACTTTCGTTGTCTGAAATCAGCAGTGTGGCTGAAATGGTCAGTGGTCCTCGTACAACGTTCGAAATGATTAAGTCCATTTGGTTACCGATCCGAGGTAATGTCCGAATCGGGTCTCTACGGTAAGTACGTATGCAATGAGTTTGGTCTTCCGCATTATCGTTGTGATCACCGATAAGCAGTTGAAAAAATAAAACAATTTTTCAAGCCAACTAGATACACCATATTATTTTTATCTATAGACAAAATGACACAATCTCGGATACCTCTGTGCACGCCAAAAAAATTATGGCATTTTCATGCCATATCTTAAGGGTAAATCCAAATGACATAAATCTCGTGCAATGCCATGGGCATAGTAAGACTACGAATAATAATTTATGTTTTGCTTTTGAATTAAAAAAATTAATTAAAAACTAAAATGTTGTGTCTACAAGCGAAAATGGAAATGCCATTAAAATATTATTCTAAAACATAATTGCATTTTTTTAAATTAGTAATAATTTAGGGTGTATTTTAAATTCAAAAACAAAAATGTTTGTAACAAACATAATATGGGAACTTACCTACAACTTAAAACAAATTGTTAAAAAAAAAATAAACTTTGATTTTTTTTTTAAAAATAGACCTTAAAATAAATTGGCTATTTAAAAACAAAGTACTTTTTTAAAAATTTAATCAGAAAATCAAAAAATAATTTAAACTGTTACGTTTGTAAGTTATAACGTATAATATTGTTCAACAGCCTTCGTGCATGCATATCATGATTCGGAAGCAAATTCTTCGGACTTGCATAAGTCTGATGGATTTTGGCGTACAATATTCAGTTGCTTACATTTTTACATGAATAAAAATATGATATTATATACAACCAATAATAACGAAGCTCGTAATAATTAATAATATTATGTAAGTAATCCACATAATACGTCAGGTTCCAATGATTATAATAATATTATTTCGATGGACTTGTTTTGGCAGATTTCTTGTCTAGCATTTGCAAAATTTTACACTCGAATATTATCGCGAACTCAAAGAAAGCTTCTGAAATATTATAAGCACCGTAATAAAAATATGAGCCCTACTAATTATACGGGTAATATGCCGTGCACCGAGTGTGAAGATAAAAAAAATTCTCGGGGGACGTCCCGCGTGTACGCATAATGCCCACAATATATTATTATGTGTTTAACTACGTGTTGGGTAAAATAATATTATATAATGTACACGAGGGAAGACTCGTCGAAATCAATTGTTTGAGTTAGATGCACTGATACAGCACATTTATATATATAATATTGTAACGCGCATTTAATACTACGGAGACCGTTTAATTTGACCCTCTGCCATTGTTCGTCCGTACCTACAACAATAATAATATATCACGTCGTCAAATCGAGAGTTCAATCGTGTTTGAAATTATTTCGATTTATCCGACCGTATACAATTATGTTTGTGAATCATTGTACGGACACTATATAATACCCACGGCGTGTATGTACGCCATCGCTAATATTATATGCATACCTATCAAACGATTTTTTTTCGACCAAAATAATATTATTTACGATATGCATCATAACTATTAATAATTACTGCACTCTATGCGATTATAATATTATCATAATACTATTTTATCACGTCCGAGTGGCGCTTATATTATAATAATATTATTGTTAGTAGTAAATGGTTTTATATCATACGTTTAAATCGGTTTAGTCAATAAAAAATTCAGCGTAGTCAGTGTGGGGTCAACCGACTATATCGTGCCCCAACGAAAATAATATATTATTTTCTTGTGGTACAATCCGATGTAAGAAGAATTGTATAATATCGTTAGTTACCTATTTAAAATAAGGTATTGAGCGTATAATTTACGATATAAAAATTCCCGATTTTACAGTGTTGTGTTAGAGAATATTCAATAATTATTGTACCAAACATACTTCAGAGTATTATATTATCCTATAAAATATTATACCAAATATCCGGTAGCCGTTTTGTGATTTTTATTTTACACAAAACTATACACTATATTATTATTATAGTATCGTATATTATACGTGCGCTGCAAGTTTCGATTGTTCTTTCCTTATCTCGAAAGTTGGAGTCCGTATATAGTTGTACGCCTATTCACAAATAATACTTATAGTATAGTATAATAATATAATACTTTTTATTTTATTATAATATAGATGTTTTACGGAAATAATATATACAATACATTAGCTTCCGATACATCGAAATGCCAATAACCCAAACCCCTCCGAACATCGCACTAAATCATTATCAGTTATCAAACGTATTTCATGACTTTGAACTTTTGATATTCATCTAAACCTTTTTTCATCCAATGAACCCAGCAGTTATTTAAACAGTTTTTGGTTTATATAGAGATGTACAATAATATTTACCATCGCAATGTGTATTTTTATATTTATTATTTTATTATTTTTTTAAATTGAAAGATATCAAAAATGATATTATTTTCATCCAATGACGTAGTTTTCTAAGTGACCCCGATGGGAAATGCTATAATAATATTATGTAGTTTCAATGTTTCATAATATTATCTTATACATGAATTTAAATTCATATATGAAAGTGTACGGCGAATAAATCTCATTGAAAGCCGATTAGGTGTAAAATGTATTTTAGTGTAAAACTATACAACCCACAACACCACGTTGGAACGAAAATGTCATTTCGGAAAAGGTCAGTCGTTAGTTACTGTTCGTTACTGTACCATACATAATAGTGATAACGGCCAACGGGGTACATTTAACCACTCGTTAGCGGCAGCACAACACACGGGACTGCGTCTTATCGCGGATGGAGAACACAAACACTTTCGTGTGTCTTTACGACCCTGGTGTAAATTTAGGTAGGTATAATAATAATATTAAATGACGCGTAGCAAAAATAATAACGAGCCAAAACGTACCGGCGATGGTGCGGAGATCCCGCGCTTATAGTGCATTATAATAGACAACCAGCCGGCTTATTTAATATTGACCCAGTAATCAAAATGGTAATTGAGGTGCGGACGAGCAGCACAGCGTCGAGAGAACGAATTTATAGACCGCTCCACTCCTCGTCTACTCTGCCTCATCATCGTGCAGTTCCGTTCACAGGTGTGGCGGGGTAGTGAGCTTAAATTGCCTACTCGACGCGCCGGCATACTCGTGGCACCGCGATACAATATTATATACCGACGAAGTGCATTTCAGCAACAACCGAATAACAATAATAATAGTAAAAATATTTTTCCCGCGTCTGTCGGTGGCAAACATTTGAAAAAAACAAACAAAAAAAAAACGCATAATATACGCGTTCACTCGGTGGAAAATCCCGTGTACGATATTATTATTGTTGTTGTTGCTGTAATAAAATACGTTGCGAGTTGTAGGCCCGGAAGAGCTGCGTTCAAACCGTAGCCCTGCCGGGGGATGATTTACGGCCGGCGGACAGACACAAATGGCTCATTCCGTCCCTCGGATCAAGCGCTGCGCCCTAATCTCGACCCGCAAATTTATGGCGAATTATGCACGCGAGCACTCACCCAGACGGACTATTGCGTGCTTACGTGTGTGCGTAAGCGTGTGTGTGTGTGTGTGTGTGTGTGTGTGTGTGCGTGTGTTTGTGTGTTTGTGTGTTTGTTTTATATATAATATACCACAACGTCAACTTAATCGCAGAGGATGCGACGAAGGATTATTATTTTTTTTTTCCAAGTGAAAAAAGCTCAGTTTTTGGGCACTCGAGCGTGCCACCGCCGTCGTTGGTCTTTTGATCTGAATAATAGAGAAGATAAATCGTCTCCTCGCGACCCTGTTGAAAATGGACTCAATTATATAAGGTTTATTATTATTTGCCACCATTTACAGACTGTCCTTTGCGATTTTATAT